CTTGAGGAAGAATTGTTTACCTCCTTCCAGCCAGGATTTGCACTGTCGCAACTTGTGCCTATTGCCTCTCATCCTTTCACTTGTGTGCCTTTGAGAAAAATCTGATCACATCTTCTCCATAAACTCCTTCAGGCAGTAGGTGGATGTTAGGTGTCCCCCCCCCCCAACCTCTTCTTCTGCAGGCTAAACATCTTGAGTTGCCTTAGTCTCGTTATCTGTCATGAGCTCCAGTCCCCTAATTACCCCTGTAACCCTTCAGTGGTGTCTCCCTAGTTTCTGCTTACATGCTCTATCCTGATCTTCCACATGGCCCACCATGCAGAACTTGGCATTTAAGTTCTTCCTCAGAACAGGCTTTAATTCTGGTAATGACATGTAGATTAACAGAAAGGATTGACACCTCACCTATGCATATGTGTACGAACACACCTGGAGTAGAAAATAGATTCTGAAATCTAAAAAGACCAAAACTAGTTTTTGTTTTTCCTGCTTACTAGCCTTGAAGCTATGTGGGGAAAAAAAAAGGAAAATAGGGAATCCTTTAGAAAAACTATTCTATGTTCATGAAATTATTAGTAGGTTACATTTTAAAATGCATTAATTGAACCTACAGGAATCCACATTTTATATAGTAGTTCCAAATAATATATTTCAAATGTTTCTGTTCTTCAGAAATGTTTCTGTTCTTCAGCCTCAAGTCTCACAAATGTTCTCTGTTTTAGATTAATTTAAAACCAAATTTGAAGTATTTCAGTTCCTGTAATGAATGGTATTGCTTCACCATGTTTCGGTGAAAAAATTAAAATCTCACTGAATGATTTGAAACCTCATTCATTTTCATCTGCTACTTGAGTGTTGTTTCTAAAACCATCATTACACTGCCTCCTTTTCAAAGACAGCATTTTAGAGAACCCACTGAACACCAACACCTTACGAACACCTCCCTGCGATGTTGTAAGAATTTCTCAGTGTATGTTCCCATGCCTCATGATGCAAAGCACCAGAAGAGAGAGAGAAGAGCAATTATGCTAACTGCTTGTCAGCGTTAAGATCTTGCACTCAGTGTTAGTGAGTCATTACCCCTACAAACTGTCAGCCAGGCTGTATCAGTGAGACAAATAATGTTATGAGAGGCTATTATTTTAAACATATATCTTGAAATTAGGCTGCAAATTAATAGAGGTCAGAATAGTTTCACATTTCTCTTATGCATACACTGAAAAGATAGAAAAGCTGTGTGAGAAACACCAAAGTGGGTGCTGAAAATACTGCCTTCTACCACAGGACTTTAAAAGTGACCTCACAACAATGTATGCTAATGGAAATAAAATCCAGAGTGTCCAGTGTTATCAAACACAGCCCTATGAAGCCACAGGTCATAAAGGTGTGGTTCATAACACGCATAAACTTCTACACATCCACACCTGCAGCCAAACACAGATTACATAGGGTAAACCCAAGCCAAGCCTGAGTATGACTCCTATGCAATCTGAAATTGTGAAGGCCCTGGGGGGGCACTGACTGGCCTTACTGGCCCTGACCAACCTCACCTGGGTTCCACCCTCAGCCTCTGCCCATGGCCCAAGAGCCCCATTTCAGCTCAGCCTGAGCTGTGCTGTAGGAGCAGGCTGTGGTTCCTGGACTGACTTCCCGGCTTTACCTCAGACCTGCCTAGCAATCGCTGGACCTGATCCTCAGCTTGGCCTCACCACTGCAGACTGGGCTGGTATTCTGGACTCTTGCTCAACCCTGGATGCCAGCAACCAGGTTTGCCCAGCTCACCTGGTCCTGTGGAACAGGGCCCTGGCTGGTGAGGTCCCTGCCCTGCTGGGAGGTGTCACCACCCACGGCTTCCTATCCTTTTGGGAGCAGCCAGCCTTTGCTGTGCCCTAACAGAAATACACAGTGGTGTGGGTACAATATGTCTGACTTGTCCCTCGGTACATATACACATTCTCCTATTTCACCAGGTACTCATGTACGCTGGTCTCACTTGAAAACAATGAATTCTGTGTTTCTCTTGAGTTCTTTGGCATAAATGTCGAATGGTAATTCGATATACTTATCTATTGATACAATCAAAATGGTGCTCTCAATAAGGCTATTCAAAGACACAAAAAAATCCCAACTGAAAAACAAGTTGGCTGCATTTGTATGATACTACTTTCAAACAAATTAAGAGGAAACCAATGGAATAATTTGGAACATAAATTGTACATCTTTCAAAGACAATTGTAAAAGACATGATGTCCATGCTCTGAACAAATTTGCAAATTTGATCTGGACCCCTGAGCATTTAGAAGCACATCCTACACTCTGCACTTGTACAAAAGTAGCCTGTGTTACTTCTCACTGAAGTAAATTAGATTTTTTTTGTTAAAGAGATGTAGAATCAAGGGTCATGCTACAACCTTTCACAGGCTAATAAAGCTTGTGATCAAACTGCATGTTTTTTTAAAATGCACCTGCTCCTACTGTTGCAGTGTATCCCAATCCTCTAAAAATAGCCAGCAATATGATTGACTTCCTCCCCAAATACTAACAATGTGGATGATCTTCTGTATCTTCTTGGTAAAACAAGCAGTATTAAAATACCGACTAATGTACATCCACTTCTGATACAAAGTTTGCAAACAAAGAAGTATGTTAGACCTGGGGAAAAAATAAAACCAAACCAACTGATCAAATTAATTCTCATTTATCTTTTCACATTTAAATATCTAGCATTCATAAGTGTGATAATAAGGATGTGCGCCTCCTTGTCTTTTTGGTTGGAAAAACTGCAACACGAGATGAAGGACATATTATAGAGTTGAGAGGATAAAGGCTAAAGAAATCTATATAAGAAGGTCTGGTGAGCTAATGGTTCATCAGAGGTCAAAAAGATCACTATCATTCATTGAATACTTGACTTCTTTTTAATGAGACATTGATCCATCTGTTCTTAATCCAGACCTCCAACACACTACCTAGAGCTGTGCAGATGTCTTAACTAGTTTGATGTACTTATTTCTATCAAAACACAAATATGACAACAATGATGTCCTTCATTATTCTATAACAACAACAATTTCTTAATGAAAGATGGCTGTTGCTGCTTTACAGCTTGCTGAGCTCCAGCATATTAGAAATATAGCTCCTACAAACCACAGAGAGGAAGCATCTGGCACAGAATTCCAGATATTTTTGCTTCTCTCCATTGTCAGGTTCTCAACCATTTTTGCAAGACATTCAGAAGTGCCAGAAAACCAAAACTACTTATGACTTTCCATAGAAATTAGCAGTGCTTAGCAAATAATACCCATTTACAGAAACCACCAGCTAGCCCTATGTCTGTTCTAACTACTGACTTCTACAAGAAGCATCCTTACCCCTTTCAATTCACCAACTGACAGTGTCCAGAAACACACCCTCCTGATTCTGGCAGATACACCAATGCATTCCCTATGCCTGTAGGAAAAAGCGACCAACAGTAGAAACCTGGGCCCTTCCTATGCTCAGGAAGCTAAGCTAAGAACTCAGGTCTCTCCTGAATAAGGGAGACCTTGATGCCTGCTATGAATTGTGCTGTTTGATTATGGTCTGCATACATCCTTCTGGCAGCTGAGACCTAAGCACAGGGAACATCTTCTACAAAGCCACCGTGAGCCTAGGAGCCATCACATCAGCCCCACATCATTGGAGACTGCCCAGTCTGGAGTGGTACTGCTCCCAGATACCTGGCATTCATTGCTCTGCACTCACAAGCTCTCTCACTAGAAATAATTTGGAGACACTCTCACCCATATTCTCAACAGATAGTAAAATGTACATTGTGTACTATCAGTTATAAAGCCTACTGATTCACTGAACACAGCTCATGGAGGCAGAGGTGGAAACATAAATGACTGCTCTTACACAACCTCTCCCACAATAGTACCTTATGCAGATTTTGCATCTAACTGTCAAAGCCTGCCTCTACTGTAAAACACTTTCTCCTTACAACTACCTTACATGTTTTGCATCACCTTCAGCCAGTACGCAACCCAGGTGCCCAGTGGAATAAGGCTAGCCCTCTGAACACACATTGCCTGATGAACTCCTTGTACGGACTCTCCATTTGCTTTTTCTGAAAAAAAAGGTGTTGGCGATGGATCTTGAAAACCTTCATTTAAAATGGCTGCAGGTGTTTGTGAGACAGACATGACAATTAAGGTCAGCTGGGATGTACAATGTGTACATCTCCATGCACTTTTTGTGACAACAGCAATGTGTCAGTGAAGGCCCTATTCTCTGACCCTTAACAGTTCATAGAAGTTTGGGCCTGGTGACCTTCAAAGCAAAATACACCTATCTATCTTCTTTACTACTTGATGAACTAATTTGTATTTCAAATTCTCTTAAATGAAGAACCTGTCTGTCAGGATGATAGGCACTGTACAGAACTTGCAAAGAGAAAAAGAACTATATAAAGCAATCAGAGAAGCTTTTTATTCAGCTGCTACAATAAATGACAGATAGTCTCATTATGCAATTCCCCTAGCTCCTCTTAACATATCTGACCCCTAGAACTATATATCACATGATTCATCAGTATTGTAGTTTCAAATATTTTTCAAAAACAGTGCAGTAATACCTTCTCGCAGTGATTTTGCAGTATTGGTCTTGGGCATGAAGAACTGATGATTCCCAAAGCACACATGTACATCTCACTGCTCATTCAGTGAGGACAAATGAGTGTGCAAACACAATCTATATAGCATTTTTGACTTTCTATCATAAAATATTTTCATAGAACTAATGAAAGAAAACATGTACTTGACAATAAAAATAATTATAATACCTTCTTATATTCAGATGGTAATCGTGCACAACACTGTTCAAAAGACTGCATATTTCATTAAGTAACTTTCAGTAATTCATTAAGTGTTTTTGCATTAGCAAACTGGATTATATAGTGAAGAATAGGGGGATAGCGTGAAAACAGCAAAACAGATCCAGACATGGGGGTGTGACTTTACCTGTTGCCTCTTCTCAAATTCTAACTTGATGCGGGATTTGATGCAGTTGCATGTGTCCTGATACGTCTGCTGCAGTGCAAGTTCCATGAGGTGTTTGTGGTATGCTCCTGCCAAGTTTCCGCAGATAAAAATGATTACATTTGCCAATATCTAGGGGGTTAACAAAAGAAAAAAGTGTCAGGGATTTTATATAAATAAACTAACAGAACATAATCCTAACATGAAATGAAAGGTTGATGCAGTTATGTATTTTTCCTGTGATTGATTTCTAGCAAAGGTTCACCTTTCCAAAAGGCTTCTCAATTAGTGGCGAAATACCAAGCAATAATACCATTTTTATTTAAAATTAAATAGGAATGATAATGAACAACACGTTTGCCTATTCAATGAGGTATACATTTTCTGAAAAAGAAATTCAGTTTGTGTTATACACCCACTGCTGAGTATTAATTAAGTGGGATCATGATCTACTGATGTAAAACAATAGCTACAGCTCGTAATAACGACATCAGAAGCCATGTTATTGCCACGCTCTTTTCCAGTGCCATATGATTAAGGTGTGAAAAGTTTCACCTATATCAATGCCTGACCTGCATTTTCTCTCAGCCTGACCCACTACTATCTGTCAGTCAGCTATAAATATTAACCTTGGTTAATTAATGGCAAGCAACACCTGGCAACAAGATCTGGCATGTCTCTACTAGATTATACTCTTCACTACTACCAAAACCCTGCATTTGCCTAAAGCACAAGACTTAGTCTATAAAACCTAGGGTCAAACTCAGTGTTCACGACAACACATGGACATGAGAAATAAGTTCACTTAAAGAATTCAGTTTTATTTATTAATTGTCTGGGACCTTTCAGAGAAAGTAAAGAGAGGAGAGAGGCCTTTCCTGTGCTTGAACTTCAAGAAGGACAGAATGCTCTGCAGAGACATATTTACCCCTCCCAGCTCTCTAGAAGTGGAAGAAAACACAGTAATGAAGCCAATTCTGAATTCAATTAAAAATAAATATTAAAAGGGAACTGAAGTTGAGATACAGCTGCAATCTGATCAGAGCATGTCTCTATCTGTAAGGCCCTAGTGTATCATGTCGCCTGGATTACAAGTACTGCATGATGTTGTAGTGCTCATGGTCTGGAAGGGAAGGAGGAAGAAAGGAGTCTAAAATTCCATTAATTCTCCACAATTAATATAATCATGAGGTTTATGATAGATTTCCCCAGTGATCATTCATGGTTGGTTTTGGTTTACCCATGTACCAGGCAATCCTTTGTGGACTGCTAAGAGTGAAGAGCCAGAGATGTCAGAAGAAAAGTCCGACAGCATGCTCCCATGGTTCAGAGGAAAAGAGAGAAATTGTCCTATTAACAGAAATCTATCTCCTTGAAGAATACATTTTATCCACAAAAAAATACATGAAGTTATTAATGCACACTTTAAAATAAGAGTTTTAAAGAAATGCTTTTATTTTCCTCACAAATTATCACATCATTACAGGCAATACCTGTTCCTCCATCTGTGATATGCCTGACATCTCACCTCTCGTGGTTCCACAAAGCTAAAAGCAGGAACTATACACCTTTGCCACAAAAAGGATTGATATTTCCAATTTGATAAAGCTTCTCTTTTTTTCCCCTAAAACTTTAACATCATGGCATTGTAATGTTTCTAAAAGCAACATTTGAGTTCTTAAAATTTTCTAAAATACATAAATGTAAAAGCAAGAAGAAAAATCTACATTTCTCATTTTCTCCAAAGAACCTCTTTGATGAAGTAGAGGGATAGGAAATCATTTAAGTGAAACATTTCACAATAGCCAATAATTTTTAAAAAACCACACAGTGTACAGAAAAACATTTGAACTCAAAATACTTTTATATTTCTCTGTAGATCGCACCTGCTTGATTCTGGTTTGATGTCAGCAACGTCACGGTACTCTTAGCAAACATGGATTATGGAACAAAGATCTCGCGTGAGATTACAGTGCAGGGTTAGGGTGTTCCAACTGGCAGTCACCGCTGGGTTTTGAAATGAAATTATGAAATGAGAACCATTGCCTGAAAATAAAGATTGCTGGGCATAGAAAATTCTCAGATATGCAGTGGGAAGGTTTAATAACAAAATGAACACTGATCTGAACTGAAATCAGCAGTGTGCTGTCAGCATCTCTGTGTACGGATCGTTGCTGAAAAGCTGCACACAAACTTAGTAAAGGTGCTGTCCAGCTTCATAGAGCTATAGACTATTTAAAGCAAAACTTCAGGAATATAACCAATCAAAATTAAACAGTATACTGTGATAGGTAGATGGAGGAGTAGATTATGAGTATCATCTTCACAGCCATAGAAAAACAGATTACAGTTTTATGACTGAACTAGCTGAAGTGAGAAAATAGATGGAAACAAGTGACTGACAGGCAAGGAAGCTAATTAACCAGGCTTTTCAGATTCTCAATGGGGTAATTCAGCCCACATGAAGCTCTGTGCTGGCTTCCAGTACCTGAATTAGGCTGTTCAAAGACAACTCAGATTCTATCTCAGCCATTGCCTTACTTAGTGTAGATGTAACACATAAGTGTATAAGTGAATATGTAGATAGAAACTGGTTCAAAACATCATTAATTCTTCTGGCTAGCATGGAGTTCATTCAGAAATGTGTCACTAGGGTATTAAGTCAGAAGAAAAATTACAAGAAATGGATTAACTGGTTTCTAACTCAGACCAACAGATTTTTTGCCTGTATGTCGTCTGGCTCAAGTAAATATTTCTGTATTTGTCCCTGAAGAGATATTGAGTGAAATACTTATCCTCCACAGACTGTTCAATGGAAAATGCAATTAAGATTGCTAAACAAAATAAACAACATATATACTTCTTGATGAGTATCTCTCTTCTCCTATGTCTTGCATTTTCTTCTGAACTGCAGTCTGGTTTCAAGACAGGAGATGGAGATGAGCTCCATCCCAGATTTGCTCTGAAGTCCCATAGCCTTTCTCCTAGAAAGAACAGGTTCAAAGTTTTCCTCAGTCCAAAAAAATGAACTGAGCTTCTCACTTCCTAAGCAAATACTCTAATCAGTATACAACTGTACAAAAAATTCCTCCTGTTCAGGCATCCACTCTGAGAAGACTCCATGCTGTGAATCCTACCTGGACCAAAGCACCTGGAAAGAAATCCTGAGTCAGAGCAGTCTTCTACCTTGTCATTTCTCTAGGCTAGGAC